CGCGTCCCTCCCTCCCTCCCTCCCTCCCTTCCCTGCCTTATTTCCATCCCGGCGGCTCCCGCACGTGCAGAGGGGGCAGCCCCCAGCCCGGCCCAGCCCGGCCCAGCGCTCCCAGCTTTGTCTGCGGCCGCTCCGCAGCTGCAGCCCCAGCGCCCGGGGAGCCGGTGCTGGAGGGAGCCAGGGGAAGGGAAGGGGGGCTGGGGGCAGCTGCGGCAGGGGGTCAGGAGCTGCTGGGGGCAGAGGGACCGGGGCCCGAGCCCCCTTTTCTCTTTGCCTCCCCTTTGGAGACCGCGGGGCTTCCCCCACCGCCTCCCAGCTGCAGCTGGAGGGGTGTGGGGGGCTGACCCAACTCCAGCAGCCAACAGCGTCTACTCCCTAGGTCTGCACCAGCCGTCGGGCTTGATCATTTGCAACCCTCCACTGCCAAATTCCTGGTTACAAACTACTTCATTAACTCCGTGTTAGCTTCATTTGGGGGTGGGGGTTTGATTTCAATGGATTTTTGTTTGCTCGAGGAAGTTCCGATAAGTGCTTAGGTGTTTCATTTCTCACCTAAACAGTAGACTCGGTCATTTTCAAGGAAACACACACACACACACACACACACACACACACACGTGTGTGTGTGTGTGTGTGTGTGTGTGTGTATAATTTCCTTGGGAAAAATATATATATATATAAATTACATTGTATCAGCTCTCACTGTCGCCAGCTCCGAGAAATGAAATAAATCAAAGTTAAAAGCTTGAGTATCATTTAATTACGGCGCGAACAGCGCTTGGAAAGAAGTCGAACAACATCTCTAAACAAATTATGGCCGGGCCAGGAAGGAATTATTAGATTGAAATTTCATTTAGGCTCGGGAGAGACAGCGCTTCAATATGTAATCTGTTATGCCTCATCTGATTTGTATGCTTAATTCAGCTTGACGAATTTATTAGTTTTCATAATAGTAAAGAAAAAAAATTGAGCAGTACTATGGGTTAATGCATTGTGTGTACTATAAATTGTGTGTCACCGTTGAAAGGCTGAAGTCTATAGAAATCTTTTATTAATGACAACATAGGAAAGAGGATTTTCTTGCAAGCCTTTAAGGAGTTCGTGCCAAACCTCCGTGCTTGGTGTCTCAGCAGGCTATTAACATATCGTCATACTAATTAGGCTACTTCATGAGTGATATAATTTTAAACTTTAAATTATGTTCTAATTAACAAGGGTTGTCCAATTTGCTTAATCTTCAAAAGGCTTTTGGCTGCTCTAATTAGTCTAAACTATCGAGCATCTCAAATGCCTAATAAAAATCCATAAAAAATATTTTTGCCTTTTCATTACATATTGTGTAAAGTTTACAAGAAAGGGTTGAGTGCCAGTGACGGGAAGCAGTTGGCAGGGGGATGCCCTTCTGCATTCATCCGCCTGGATCATTGCATTTCCTATTGCCATTCTTCTCTTCCAGCTCCAACTTCCCAAGCAGCAAGAACCCTTTACATGTAATTTGGGGTTTGGGAGGAGTTTTAAGGGGACAATTAGCAAGGAAATATCATCCTTCCCCCAATCCCCAATGAATCCTCAAGTCTAAAGCAAGCCAACCTTTTAAGTGAGCGTTATTAACAGGGCAAGAATTTTATTCTTCACTCCTAACTGAACTTTGAGGCTGAAAATCTTTTAGAAATCTGTTTAACCCCCCTGTATTGAGTTTAATTACTTGCAGTAGTTGTTTTAATGTATGCTGTCACATGGGAGAATTGAGAATGCATATCGTTAATATGAATTAATCTTGATTTTAATAGCAGCTGACAACTGATCTCCAAAATGCTAAACACTTTTCACCACTTCATATGGTAAATAAGGCATTGAAATATATTCATGACCTAAAGAGAAGGGTGACGAAAATACTGACCAAACTTTCTTTGGTGCTGTTTTTAGTCACTGAAATGATTAAAACCCAGCCATCTCCAAGGAGTCTATCGCTCCCTTCGTGTCCTTTGTTTTTTTTTTGCTTTTTTGTTGTTCTTTTTTAAATTTAGATCAGTCTTCAGTCTTCCCTGCTTACTCTCAAGACCCCTCTCTACCACAAGGTATTTATCAGGTTGTCATTAAATGTGGTTACTTTCGTATAATCATTCCCGTGCATACCATTGTATTCTCTACTTCACAGGAAACCGAACGGGTTGTATTTGCTACAAAAAATCCCGTTACAAAGTTTCCGGGATGCCTTTCCTTCTCCAACGTGACAATTGAAAAGCAGCGCACGGAACTGATGCCTGCACACACCGCACGCAGTGCCTGCTCGCCGTTCAGCAATCGCCTTCTCGTGGCAGTAGTGCCCGGGATCCCAACATCTTCAGTGGCGGAGAGGACCTAGCACTACAGTGAACTCCGCTCTCCTTTTTCGGGCCGGTGCCATTCTGTGGAGGGACAGTACTGGAACAAGGATGAGAGGGAGAGAGAACAGAAAGTTTAATGGGGACGATGGAAGCAAAGGTAAGAGTCCATCTGGGAGACCCTGATGGTGCTGGCACTGACACGGGCAGCGAGTGCAAGATAACGAAGTCAACAAGGCGAGCGAAGAAGGGGAGGGGAACGGGCTCGCGCAGAGGTAGATTGGGAGCTCCTGGACATGCCGGCCTCTTTGTCTGGCTCTGGCCCCGGCCCCGGCCCCTGGCCGCAGACAGCTGTGAAATGGAGCTGTCCCAAACCAGCGACAAAGCTGCTGGTGGAAGTGCCAGGCTGCACTCTCGAGCCTCCAAGTGCCATTAGCCTTGCAGCAGGCTGCGCACACAAATGGACTGTCTGAATAAAATCAAAGCCCCCTTTCCTAGCCTGACCCGCGCAGACATCCGGGAAGAAATCACTGTCGCCTCTCATGTCTCCCTGTTCTGATTTATGATTAAAATTTAAAG